GGGCCAGGCAAAGACTATAAAAATATAGTTGACACCCGACAAAAATTAACCCAAGCACTTTCGATTGACTACAGCAAATTTTAAGCTTTACAAAATTTGACTTGATTCAGAAATATTAGTCATCTACAGAGCTGCCGCACGGATTCCACGGATTGCGCATATTTGATTTTTGATTATTGATTTCTTGACGTTTAGGTCGACTAGGGCCGCCAATTTATATGCTTAGTTCGCTTGGACATGAGTTTCTATCAAAGTCTACACACTCATGAAGCTGCAGTCACAGTAACCACCCTCAGACGTGACCCTCTGTGACTTCTTCTAGTATCCCAAGCTGAAGAGCATTGGAACGTTAAAGAGAACAGCGCAGCAGCAAGTGCCACTGGCTGACAAAAGTGCTTCAAGTGGGAAAAAACGCATCTGCACAAGTCTAAAACATCAGATGGGATTTAATTGTAACGATACAAGTTAGATATGCATGAATAAATCAAAGAGTTTGGGAGATAAGCACAACAATTTGCTTTAAGCAAAAATCGTATGTACATAATTAATAATAATTAATTTTTAATTAATTAATTAATAATAATTAATATTGTTCAAAATTAATATTAATATTATTACAAATTAATATTAATGCTAATACTAAACATTAGTAAAAAATTAAAATTTATATCAATTAAATTGAAAATTATTACAACTTGTTTAAGCTTATATATATTTTTTTTAAATATAAATAAATTTTGAAGAAAAAAAATCGATTTATTTTTATTACATATATATACATATATTTATTTATTTATTTATTGACAATTTTGTCGCCTGCATCAGCGTCCAGTGCGTTGTCAATTCGCGTTGTTGTCTTCATCAACTTTGTTGTTGTTGTTGTTGTTGTTATCGTGAAGTCAATTGAAATTTGTAACACGTACAGCAAATTTGACTCTGCGTCGCGTCGACTCGAGTCAAGTCGAGTCGAGCTTGCATGTAATAAATTTTTATGTAGAAATTGGCAATGCGACCAACAAGACAAAGAGATGAGCATTATGCACATACACAGAGCGAGAGAGAGAGAGAGAGAGAGAGAGAGCGACTTACTCGGAAAGCTAAGTGAATTGTATAATCAGTAGTGACACATATCCGCCGCATAGACAAGCCCAATGACCACTTGCCCCTGCCACAAGTCAACATTTTGTAGGTTTTTTTTTTTGGGTTTTTTTTCTCATATTTCGTTCGAGGCGTGGCCGTCGAGCTGATTGCAATTTGTTGTATGAAACATAATACAGTTTATTAGTCATAAGGATAAATGACATGTATTTCGTATTACACGACCGACTAAATGAGTCAGCCGATGGGGAAACTACGCTCAGACGAAAGACATAGTAAAGCCGAGACTGACGATTTTTTGGGGGATTGCGGGCGCGTAGTGTGGGGGCTCTTGGGGTTGCAGCACACACCCTGAGGGCGTGTTAATTAGCGTAAACGCTTGGCTTGGCCATACGACAAATGAACGGTTAGCTAGCTGCGGTGCTGGCAACGCTAACAAATATTGGTAATGAGGCAGTAAATCGTTCGTTGTCTCTGTTTACACTCGTTCCTCCCTCTCACACCCTCTGCCCCTCCGTCGTTGCAAAGTGAAAACTCGCAAGGCAAATAAACTGATCAAAATATATATACTTTGGGAATGCATCAACATATTTCTGTGCACACACACATAAACGTTGTTATCGTCGCCATAAAGTAACTGGTAATCCGAGTTCAAGGAACTCTGCACGCAAAAAACAAAAAAAAAGAAAGCTTTGAACACTTTTGCATAAGGACAAACGACAAGTGACAGCTCCAAAAGAAAAAAAATGCAGACAGAGTTGCCACACAGCTGGCATGCGATGCAATAAACGCATTAAAAATCACTTTCGCTGCATTTAGTGCACAGTGGTGCCAAGGCCGTTATGACCAAACTGAAATCTCTATTAAGAGAAATTACTTTTTATGTATTGCAAAAACATTTGTATATATAAATCAAAGAAAATATATATAACATATGCATCATAAATGTATATACAGCTGTGTTCGCACTACTATTTTCATGAACACACATATGTGGTACATAAAAGTTATAACCTATATATGTATATATATATATAAATATATTTAATAGCATATGAATATAATAAAATATTTGTATATAACTTATATATCATCTATATGTGCAGCTGTGTTCATGAAAATATCAGTGTGACTGAGCACTAAATGTTTACTATATATATATATTTTAGTTTTTATAGTTATATTACAGCAATTGCCTTGCCTGGGATTCGAGCTCGCGCTTGATTTTTAGACAAAAACTGATTGTATCAATTTTGTAATTGCATAATAAATAAACATTTATGCATATATTATAGTTATTGATTTCTTTATGCTTATCACGTATTTTACAGTTAGCTCACGTACAAACACACACACAGCAAGCACAGTAAATATGTAAATTGGTCTTTTTTATTTCAAATTCCTATATCACTGATGTCATATGTCATATGTCAACATATACATACACACATACATACACACATATGCATCTACATAACAAACACACAGGCGAAATCGTTAGACAATTTGAATGCAACACGAACCACTGTGCTGCTCGTGTTGCACGACTTTTGAATGACACTGTAAATCGAATCGTTTTGCATATGCATTAATACAAACGGAGCGTCATATGGGCTTTGTCTAAATGTAAAGAATGAATGCTTAAGTGGATGCATAAGTAGCGTTTTCCTTAAATGAACGCCCGCCCTCCCTCTCTGTCTTGGCAGTGCCCTTTGCACTTAAAGTGCACTTGATAAAAGCCATGCCACATAGCTACGAAAACAACAACAAACGCAATTGTTATTGTTGTTTTTACTGCGAATGGGCACAGAAGAAAAGAGAAACAACAACAACAACAACAACAACAACAACAAATGCGCAGACCTAATAAACGCTGCCCGATGAATTATGTGCTGCCCGCCTATGCCATGGCTCTCATTCAGCTTAAGAGCAGGCTGATAAACCATAAAAATATGTATGCATATAGCATACTCACACACACACACACATATATATATGATATATATACGCATATCTATGCATCTCCCTCACACTCTCGCTCAAAATGCAAGACTTTGCAGCTATTACTGCTGACACTCCCACACGCATAGGCCGAAAAGACAAACAACAGCCATGCTTTGTGCGAGAGTGTGGCAACTCTGTTTCTGATTGACATAAACAAAAGCAAAGCCACTTAAATGCGGAACAAGTCAGGCCTCGTTCGCTTCCCCTGTCACTCTTGTGTGATTGCCTGCGCTGCATTAGTCATTCGCAGCAGCAGCAAAAGCTCTGATTAATAAAATCAACAACAACAAAAATCCACTTTTAAGTGTCAATCAGCGCGAGAGCCAGCCGCCTACGCTGCACTCATTGTTATTTTAAGCAGCGTTCCTCTCCCTCTTTGGCTCTCTCTTCCTCTCTCTCTCTCTCTGTCTCTCCCAATTTCATTTGTCCTTTTTATCGTTTCGCTTGCCACGCATATTTATGAGTACGCGCGCGAGCGCGCTCGTAACAATGCCACATTGTGTTTTGATTAACGCTACGCGCGTGCGCTCCCGCGCCGCTTGCTTAACAGTTAACAAACGCAAATGCATTAAGCGACGAGTGGGCGGACGAAGACGAAGCAATAGCAATTACAGTTGGCAAATCGAAAAGCTGCACCTGAAAACTATTAAATGTGTGAGACACTGTGCACGTCGCTGTCTATGTGTGTGTGGGTGTAAGTACTGTAAAAAGATTGTACACACTTACTGTTGCCCCTTGAACCAGAGAGCGGGGCCAACACAGCGTCGTTGCTGTTGTACAGTGGAAGCTCGCTTTGCCAGACATCTCAGACTGGGTCATGCAATATCTAAAACTATAGAAGTCTATGCCATTTCGTCCACATATGTACTTTGTTAGTGCACATTTGCAAGCTGCTGGAAACGTGCTGGTTCGCCCAGCAGAGTTACTACTGTAGTTGCTCTTCGACTTGAGTTGCTTGCGGGCTGCTGCTGAATCGTAGTTTTTCACGCTCTCCCATCTTTGCGAGCCTCTGTCTCTGTCGCTGTCGCTGTCGCTGTGTCTGTCTTTGCATGTATTTGTGTTTGTGTTTTTATTTTAAGCCGAAACTGGTTTTCTGTTTGCCTTCTTTGCTCTGTCGTGTTGTCATACTATGAAAATACTTTAGCCCATGCATACCCACATACAAACATCGCTTTGCATGTATGTAAGTGTGTGTGTGTGTGTATTATTCAAATGTTATTTTCGCGAAATTCATATGGAATTCCAAGTAAAGTGAAAGAAGCATGCGTTGTCTTGCCGTTGCCTAGTTTGACGAGCATTAGTCATGTGGGTGTCGAAGGTGGGGGGTTACGCAGACATTGAACTTGTGCGTCAACAGGGGCAAGGCGCATGCGCTGCTGCTGCGGCTGCGGCGCGGCGTCTCTGATTTTGCACTAGCTCTTCTGCATGCACAGTCATAGCAAGACTTGGCGTGGCCACCACCCAAGGGAACTTGTTTTTCCCCCATGCACTGCGCTGCGCTCCCCCACGCACAAATACACATGCATACACACACACATGCATATACATGTATGCACATTTACATGCTTATGTGTGTGTGCATAAATGTATGCATGCGCTGGCTGGAGCATTACCGTTAGCTGTTGTTGATGTCGCTCTCTTCATGGGGGGTTGTTGAAGGCCATTGTCGCTGTCGCTGCTGCTGCTGCTGCTGCCTTTGCTGCTGCTGCCGCAGTCGACTACGACGCCCACATGCACCGGTTAACGGTTTTTCGACGCAGCCCAACCCAACCCCCAAGACCTTTACACTGTCGCCAAAAACTTATCATACACTTGCACATATCGATTTAACATATAATATATATGTATTTAAATCTATAAGTTAGTTATGCTAAACGTCGCTTAGATTCTTAACTCACCTCTGTAAATTTCTCTTTTATCTCGGCCTTTTCATCATTGGACAAAGTTTTTGTAAATTTGTTTAATGTTGCCATTTTGTTGTTGTTGATATTATTATTATTATTGATGTTGGTGGCGCTGCTGGTCGGTGTTGTTCTCGTTGGTGTTGCTTTTTCTTAATTGTTATATTGGCTATTATTTAAATAAATTATGGTTAATTTCACTTTATCGCTACAGTCGCGTTGCCTCTGCCACTGCCTCTGTCGCGGTCGCTGTTGCTGTCGCCGTTTTGCCGCTCTCTTATTGTTTTTGTTGTGCGAAAAACTGCGCTTGCTGCGTTGCGTCGTCGTATATCGCGTCGATGCCGTCTTATGTGTTGTTGTGTTGGTGGTGGGTTTGTATGCCTGCTGGAGAAGAAGGAGATGAAGATGGGCTTGGGGGCAGCAGTGACACTTTCTTTTGGGTGGCGTTGGCGGTTGTGTTGGCGTCGGCGGCTTTTATTTATGGCTGTTATTGTTGTTAATTCTTGTACACGCTACTGCGCTGGATAATTGCTATTTTGCTATTTCGCTATTTATTTTCCAATTTTTGTGTTCATCTCTTTCTCTCTATCTATGTTTTGGCACACGAAGCACGACTTTTTTGCACTTAACAAAATATATAAACCCAACAAATCTGGTCCCACTCTCCACTTGTATTTACACGACGCTGAAAGCTCAGCTTATTGCTTATTTTGTTATTATTCGGCTTCAGCGCTTTTGCCGGCTTTGTTTGTGTACACTTTGTTATTTAGTAATCAATAACAATAACTCGATAACTTTATATATTGCTGGCGGGGCACACCAACCATGCGCAAGAAAGTCTGAATTAAAACTGATATGGCGTTTAAAAGTGTGCCCACTAGTCACAGACAAGATATACATAAAATACTAAATCTTACATTTAAATGTTACAAAAAAATACCCAAGGAAATTTGAAACCTATGTTACAATAATGTTGCATTGCTATATAAAAATTAATTTTGCATATATAAAAAATGCATATACAAAAATGAAGTTATCAACTAGAGTTAATAACTGTTTTTGAAACATGTCATAAAATACATTCGAAATTAAATTGGGGGCCTAATTTAGGGATTAACATGGGAATAGTTGATGGCGCTAATTGAAGTTAACATAATGCTGTTAGCGCAAATTTGAGCTGCTACGCACTTGCATAGATTTAATTTTAAGTTCATTATTTCGTTAAGAAATTAACACGATAACGGTTTATAGATAGTTCATTATAGTTGACATCCTGCTTTTAATGCCCATTTTTATGTTAAATGAATGGCTAAATTTAAAAAAAGACATGGGAACAGTTAATGGCGCTAGTTGTAGTTAACATAATAGTGGTAGTGCAAATTTGAGCAACTGACGCAGAAATAGGTCTTTCAGAGTTGTCAAATAGACACATACGAAAAATAAGTGGCAACCCTGTGCTGGCGCAAATAACAATATTGTGGTGTAGCTGATTATTAATGTGTGTTTGTGTCAAAATAAAATGCACATTAAGCAGGTGGGTAAATAATGGCTTGCTAAATGCCCCCCTTTAACTTATTGATGAATATTTCCAGATTATTATACAAGGCTTCAAAAGTTACAAGGACCAGACGGTAGTGGAGCCATTCGATAAGCGTCACAACGTCGTCGTCGGACGCAATGGCTCTGGCAAAAGTAATTTCTTCTACGGTAGGTGCATCTAGACATATATAAGTGTGCTTACTATTGATTGTGTCAACTAATCCGCAACAGCTATACAATTTGTACTGAGCGATGAGTTCACCCATCTCCGTCCGGAGCAGCGCCAAGCCCTGCTGCACGAGGGAACAGGCGCTCGGGTCATCTCGGCCTATGTGGAGATTATATTCGACAACTCGGACAATCGTGTGCCGGTAAGTGGAGTGATATGTAATCAGTTAAATATCTATTTCATTTGGTGCTCAACCTCTGGCAGATCGACAAGGAGGAGATTTACTTGCGGCGCGTCATTGGCGCCAAAAAGGATCAGTATTTTCTAAACAAAAAGGTGGTGCCGCGAAATGAAGTCGTCAATTTGCTTGAATCGGCTGGCTTCTCCAGCTCCAATCCCTATTATATTGTCAAGCAGGGCAAAATCAATCAAATGGCCACCGCCGCCGACTCTTATCGATTGAAGCTGCTGCGCGAGGTGGCGGGCACGCGAGTCTATGATGAGCGAAAGGAGGAGTCGCTAAATCTATTACGGGAAACCGATGGCAAAGTGGAGAAGATAAGCGAATATCTAAAGACGATTGAGGACAGGCTGCAGACTCTGGAAGAGGAGAAGGAGGAGCTGAAGGAGTATCAAAAATGGGACAAAACACGTCGTACTCTCGAGTATATACGCTACGAGACGGAGCTGAAGGATACGCGGCGTGCTCTCGAGGAGCTGCTACTACAGCGTAAATCCTCCTCGGACAAGAAGAAGAACTACAACATTGAGATACAGAAGGCGCAGGAAAAGATCAAGGAGGTGCAAAAGAATCTAAAGGAGGCTAAGAAAAAGGTTCTTAGCACGAAGGAGGAGCGCTCAGTCCTAATGACCGAACAGCAGCAATTGCTGCGCGAAAAGACCAAACTGGATCTAACCATTGTCGATCTAAACGACGAGGTTCAAGGCGACAACAAGTCCAAGGAGCGTGCCGATCAGGAGCTCAAGAATCTCAAGGTGACGATAGCGGAGCGTGAGAACGAGCTGGACGATGTGAAGCCCAAATATGAGTCGATGAAGCGCAAGGAGGAGGATTGCTCACGTGAGCTGCAGCTCAAGGAGCAAAAGCGTAAGGAGCTCTACGCCAAACAGGGACGTGGCTCGCAGTTCTCGTCGCGCGAGGATCGTGACAAATGGATACACAATGAACTCAAATCGATTAGCAAACAGACCAAGGACAAAATCAATCATCACGCCAAACTGGTCGAGGACCTCAAGAAGGATGCCACGTCCGAGAAGGATCTGGGCACCAAGATCGAGGAGCACTCCTCCGAGCTGGAACAGCTGCGCCTGCAGATCGACGAGCACAACAAAAAGTACTACGAACTAAAGAAAACAAAGGATCAACATCAGTCCATGCGCAACGAGCTGTGGCGCAAAGAGACACAAATGACACAACAGCTGCAGACCCAGAAGGAGGAGCTGTCGCGCGCGGATCAAGCGCTACGCAGCATGGCAGGTAAACCAATTCTCAACGGCTGCGATTCGGTACGCAAAGTGCTCGATAGCTTCGTGGAGCGCGGCGGCATGTCGGCGGCCATTGCACGGGCTTACTACGGTCCAGTTATTGAGAACTTTAGCTGCGACAAGACAATCTACACAGCCGTCGAGGTGACCGCTGCGAATCGTCTGTTCCATCACATTGTGGAATCGGAATACGAGGGCACACAGATCTTGAAGGAGATGAACAAATTGAAGCTGCCCGGAGAGGTGACATTCATGCCGCTGAATCGACTACAGGTGAAAGTGCACGACTATCCAGATGATCCAGATTCGATTCCGATGATATCGAAGCTCAAGTACGATGAACAGCATGACAAGGCGTTGCGTTACATATTTGGCAAGACGCTCATCTGTCGTAATCTGGAGCGTGCCACGGAGCTGGCCAAGAGCACGGGCCTCGACTGTGTCACACTCGATGGCGATCAGGTGTCGTCAAAGGGCTCGCTCACCGGCGGCTACTTCAACACATCGCGCTCGCGCCTCGAAATGCAAAAGAAGCGCACGGAATATACGCAACAGATAACCGAGTTCGAGAAGAAGCTGAGCAAGCTGCGCAATGAGCTGAAGTCGACGGAGAACAACATCAACTCAATTGTGTCCGAGATGCAGAAGACAGAGACCAAGCAGGGCAAGTCGAAGGATGTGTTTGAGAAGGTGCAGGGCGAGATACGATTGATGAAGGAGGAACTGGTGCGCATCGAGAAATATCGTGCGCCCAAGGAGCGATCCCTGGCGCAATGCAAAGCCTCGCTGGAGGCGATGAATAGCACCAAGGCCAGCCTGGAGGCCGAGCTAAAGCAGGAGCTCATGTCCACGCTCTCCGTGCAGGATCAGCGTGAAATTGATCAGCTGAACGATGATATACGGCGTCTCAATCAGGAGAACAAGGAAGCCTTCACCCAGCGCATGCAGCTGGAGGTGCGCAAGAATAAGTTGGACAATCTGTTGATTAACAATCTGTTTAGGCGACGGGACGAGTTGATACAGGCGCTGCAGGAGATCTCTGTGGAGGATCGCAAGCGCAAGCTAAACAATTGCAAAACCGAGCTCGTGTCCACGGAGAAGCGCATCAAGAAAGTCAATGCGGATCTGGAGGAGATCGAGAAGCGTGTCAATGAGGCCGTTCAATTGCAAAAGGAACTGCAGCAGGAGCTGGAGACACATGTGCGCAAAGAGAAGGAGGCCGAGGAGAACATCAACAAGGACAGCAAACAATTGGAGAAATGGACCACCAAAGAGAATATGCTGAATCAGAAGATCGACGAGTGCACCGAGAAGATAGCCAGCTTGGGTGCACTGCCGCAAGTGGATGCCGCCTACACGCGCATATCGCTGAAGAACATCTTCAAGGAACTGGAGAAGGCCAATCAGCATCTGAAGAAGTACAATCACGTGAACAAGAAGGCTCTGGACCAGTTCTTAAGTTTCTCGGAGCAAAAGGAAAAGCTGTACAGGCGCAAAGAGGAGCTGGACGTGGGTGATCAGAAGATTCACATGCTCATCCATTCGCTGGAGATGCAAAAGGTGGAGGCCATACAGTTCACATTCAGGCAAGTTGCCCAGAACTTCACAAAGGTGTTCAAAAAGCTGGTGCCCCAAGGCGCTGGATATTTGATACTTAAAACGAAGGACAACGAGGGCGAGGAAATGGAAAAGGAGGTGGCCAATTCGGATGCCTTCACGGGCATTGGCATACGCGTCTCCTTTACGGGCATCGATGCCGAAATGCGTGAAATGAATCAGCTATCCGGTGGCCAAAAGTCTCTGGTTGCCCTCGCCCTCATCTTCTCCATACAGAAGTGCGATCCGGCGCCCTTTTATCTATTCGATGAGATCGATCAGGTGAGCCTTTGGCAGTTGACAGCTCAATTTGGAATCGCAGTTAACAATGAAATCTCTTCTTTAACAGGCACTGGACGCAATGCATCGCAAGGCTGTGGCCGATATGATACACGAGCTCAGCGACACAGCCCAGTTTATTACCACCACATTTAGGCCCGAATTGCTGGAGAACGCCCATAAGTTCTATGGCGTACGGTTTCGTAATAAGGTCAGCCACATTGATTGTGTTACCCGCGAGCAGGCCAAGGACTTTGTCGAGGATGACAACACACACGCCTAGACGCGTCTGCAGCTTAAAGGACGCACACACACACCCCACCACAAACCCTACCTTCCCCTCGCCAACCAATATCCTCCCACTCCTTCTACACACATTCAAGCATTTCTTAGTGATTAGGCGTAAATTGATTTTTTCTTTAATAACTTGTATTACACTTAGCAATTCTATATATAACTTGATTGATTTTCCTTAAAACTACATATTTAAAGCCTTAAGATTGTCTGTATTGTAATTGTTCTTGCACTTGATCTGGCAAGCAAAGTCTCACAACATCTTCAACTCTATGTTTTGGGGCCTTCTACCATCAATCAACTGCACAGTTTATGTATGTAATCGTAATAAATGACAAAGACATACATATACGTATATTTATATCAATTATTATGTGCTTATATTAACTATTTAGTCCATACAATTGCAATAAATTGATTTTGCATATAAAAGCATTCGTTTATTGACTAAATATTCATTCGTAACAAGTATATATATAAAAAACATCAACTCTTCATTAGTATAAATATGTCTCAAGGTGTTGTGCTAAATGCAGCATTGATCGAACATTGGGTTAACATTATTGGCTGCCTGGTCCCGTCGTCATCCTCGATCATCATCATCTGCTGCTCTCGACCAGCTCTTGGGTTGCATTAATGGCAAATATGACGGAGAAACACATGCCAACCGTTTCTACCTCCAGGGCCGAGATGTTGTATCTCAGTGTTAGCCGCCAGAGTACAAAGTGGTTAAGCAGAATCAACAGTGCCAAGCCTATGGACCACCAAAATTCATCGGCAATGGCAATATGCCAGAGGCAAAAGACATTCCAAAGCACACAGAGTGTGAGATTGAGACGTTCGAGCCTAGCCAACAGTGCTGCTAGCGTTGACTTTTCGTTGAGGCAGCAGCGCACGCTGGCCAAAGTCAAAGCGCTGATGTACAAACTGAAGACTATGGGACGCCAGCTGCAGCTGCCAGCGATTAGATGATTGTTGCCAGTGATGCTTAGCAGTTGGCCGGCGATCAACGTAACAAATATGACCGGCGCATAACGCAGCGATTGCTCGCAAACGCGTCGTTGCACCTGGCCGGGATTGGGATGCGTGCAATGTAAAATACAGAATACGCTATGTGTAAAGAATAATCCATACGCGGCTAGCGCATACCGGCCAATGCTGTAGTGCTTGAGTGCCCATCCGGAACTGACGGCTAGCACAAAATTTAGCAGCCCCAGGGATAGCTTTGAAGATAGTGAGCCGGTGGCACTCACAGCCATTGCGACAGGTGTTCAAAACAAACAAACAAATAAAACTAAGATTGACTTTGTTATTGTCTTCAACCGAGCTGCCGCCGCCACTTATCGATGTTTATTAATGTGGTCGATATAAATAAACGATAGTCAGTGTTGGGTAATTGATTCAGTGGCCGTTGAGCTGTCTACAGAAAGCCGGAGGAAATGTGTTATCCTGGACTCAAAACGCATTTAAATAGTGTTATATTTATGTGGCTATAAATAATTTATGCACAGAACATTTTAAAATAATGAAAGAGCTTATAACATCTTTTACATTAGACAACGTTAAGCAACTTCAATAAGAAATTTAAAAAGTTCACTGGTTCGCGAACTACCTTACCAACACTAGGTAAATCGAATGCTAAATTTGTTTCTAGACGCCCGCGATATATTTGTATTTTTATTTAAGGTACGCTTTACGTTGCTATTCTACTGTTGAAGATTCACAGTTATATAGGCTTAAGAACGCTAACAAAATGGCGGATCCGAATGGATTCAAGCTTTTCAGAACAGTTGATCCGACGACCGTCAATGTAACGATCAAAGAGAAATTCGCTAAACTGACGCTCTCTTCGAACAAGAAAAAACAGTTACCAAGAAAAAATACGCCGCAAAAGGAGCACCAATCAGAACCGCAATCAACTAAATGCAACAACGTAAGTCGCCAACTGTTGGGTGAGCTAAATGATATTCCGACTGCTAAATCCTACGAGCATCCACTGCTTCGAAGCGATTCCTCATCCGCTAACATAATGGGACAGGAGCAAACTCCAAAAGCAGAAGACACCCGGTCACAACATGATGCTTCCGATTATATGGAAGCACTGCATCTGAGCGCCGACGGTTGCACACAACAAACACAAGACGTGGACGTGGAGGCCTTATCCGCGCAGGTTCTCACTTTGACAGTACAGCCCGAAAGGAAGCTGCCGCAGGACCAATCTATTTGCATATCATCAACCACTGCAGAAACGGACGATGATAGTGCCTCGTGCATTACCATATCAGATACCAGTATAAGTGAGCATGATGAGCATGATGAGCATTCTGAGCAGGAACCAGTGCAAAGGGAACCGGAGGTGACCAGCATGACGGTCAGTGCGCAGCTGCCTCCAACAGCAGATTTGTCGAATGTGAAGGTGCAGCGCATAGAAGCCTTCCTGCGGGACGTCTCCTTCGAGCGCCGTGAGATAATTCGCCGTGGCTTCGCGGATATGTCAGCCGATATCACACGGCTGGCCAGTGCTGACACGGAGGACATGAGCCTAGGAGAGGTCGATTGCTCTCAATTGCTGTCCATGTCACATGGGCAGATTGATAGCAGCAAACGCTTAGCGGACAATGACACGGAGGTGAATACAGTGTGCTCCGAGGCACAAGTAGACAGCAGCAAACGCTTAGCGGACAATGACACGGAGGTGAATACAGTGTGCTCCGAGGAGCGAACAGAGCTGGACAGCTGCAAGCGGCTGGCAAATGATGACACAGAGGTATGCACACCAGATATGGAGGAGCCGCTGTCCGAGTCGTCTGGCCAACAGACGAATCTGGATGAAACTATACCGGAGACCAGCAGCGAGCTGGATCACTCGCTGTCCAGACCCACCTCGGCAGCATCGGCGGAACCTGCGGAAGTGGAGCACACGCCTGCCATACAAGTGAGCAGTATCAATATATCGGCAAAGATCAACATTAAGATACACATACCCAATCTGGACTCGAGCTCGGCGGAGTCCGAGAACGTCTCGGAGGCGGAACAGAGCATTGTAGAAACTGCGCCCACTTCAGATGAACGGTCAGAGACATGCCAACAACAAGTTGGTGAGCGCAAACAGAACTGCTCTGTGCTGGGTAGCGATGCCTCAGAGGATGAGCAATTTCTGACACAGGCTGAAAAGCTATTGAATCAACTGTATGGCAAATCCTGGCAAACTCCGGATGTCATACGTACGCTTAAGCGCTCCAGCGGCAGTGGTGGCAAAGTTGCGCCTGCTGAGCCGCCAAAGCGCGCGCCTCTCACCGAGGTCAAGCGGCAGCCCAAGGCGAGAACAGTGAAAAAGCTAGCGGCGCCTGAGACACCTGTCATGCCCAACGATAGCGCACTGGGCGACTTCAGCATATGTAAATATTCTAACATGCAAAATATATAGATGCATTAATTGCCAATTTCGAATCTTTTTAGTTAAGCGCGCGCTGCACTCAAACAAATTCAACTCCACGCACTTGCCAAGGGCCGCTTGCACTGAGAAGCGAGCAAACAGGCCGCGCGTGCGCACCAAACATATTGACGAGGAGCGCTGGCGGGCACTTGTCGACACGGACAGCGGCACCGATGCCTCCGATGATGACGATGCGAATGCCACGGACAGCAGTGGCACAGACGATGACGAGGCAGCAGAAGATGGACATGTCACCTATTTGGATCTGACCAAAAATGAGGTCGAGGTGGTTAGCGATCCAGATGCGGAGCGTGCATGTGAGTGTATATAAGTTAGTTGGGCTAAGAAGAAACTAGAGAGTAGGACAAGTTGTCAAAGACAGTTAGCAATGCTATTTAGTCTAATGTAATACCAATACGAGAATCGACTTGCCTTTGTATGTTGGGTTTCTATAAAAGATTAACATTGCAATATCGTTTATACACAGCCCCCAAACACCAGCCAAGACTCGATGATATTCTGCGCACATGCCGGGCAAGCGATAAGCCCAAGTTACCAGCAACGCCTACGATGACGACAACGATGACGACACCATCATCAAATCCCACACGTAGGCAGCTATTTACACCCAACATCGGCTACGAGGACACGAGTGAAGCTAAACGAATTGTGGATCAAGCAATCGATACGAATAGTCTTGACCAATTGGAGATTGTCTATTTGCCGGGCACGAATGTGCACAAGCGTGTGCAGGAGGTGAAGAGACAGCTGGGCATAGGAGTGGTGACGCCTAAGGCGAAGCCCGTCTTTACTGTGCCGACGCCAAAGACAGCTCCGCCAGCCAAGACTGTGGAGCGCGCCAAGAAGGTGCCAGCCACGAACACGAAAATTGCCTCGAGTGGCAAATGTAGTTTTTTGAAGTCACTGGAACCACAAATCAGTCGCGAGCATTGCGACAATGAGGCCTTCTTTTATCGTGAAAACTTTGCCAAGAACAAGGAGCAGCTGGCGACGTTGCTCTATAACATGTTCAACGCTCAGGTATTCAATAACGAGCTGAGTGTGCCACTGATCTGGTCGGCGAGGCTACGCAACACAGCGGGCAGGTGCAAAAATAAAAATAAGTAAGCGAAAAAGCTGATCAAACAATGACTACATATATCTTACCCAACTCCTATTTACTTGCCAGGCTGCAGCAGCGTAGCAGTGTCGTAGAGCTGAGTGTGAAGGTGCTAACCAGTGCCGATCGACTCCGTTGCACTCTAATCCATGAGCTATGCCATGCGGCTGCATGGGTATTCAACGGTGCTGGCGGACACGGAGCCATTTGGAAACGCTGGGCACAGCGTGCCAATGACAAATTCCCAGATCTGCCGCCCATTACAGTGTGCCACAACTACAAAATTGAATTCAAGTACACATACAAATGCAACAGCTGCAACACAGCGTAAGTTATCACAGAACCGATACTATAAGTGGTCGAAGACATTTACTAACAAGCCTGTTCCCTGATCTTGCAGCTCACATGCTCACTCCAAGTCGCGCAAGGTGGAGAACTTACGTTGTCGTCTTTGTCGTGGCCCAATTGTATTGCTTCTGAACAAAAAGAATAAGGTGGGCGACATTGTGGCGACGCCGGTGCGCGAGGCGACTGGGTTTGCCAAGTACGTTAAGGATAACTTTCAAAAACACAAACGCGACAATCTTACGGCTGCGCAGGTGATGCGCATTCTGAGTGCCGAATATGCTAAGGAGAAGGGCAAAGGTCACACAACAAACATGGACGAAGCAGCGGCGCAAGCCATCGCTAAACAAGTGGAAACCTTGATATTAGACAGCGATTAGAAAATCGAAGCATACAGCACGAAAGAGTACAACATTTATTTTGATATGTAGTTTACAATTTTTTTTTGTATTGATATACAAACATATATATATTTTCTAGTTGTCAATTATTTTGAGTATTGGATTTCAATTAAAATAAAACCACTTTAAGTTAGCAGTTGCCATTTGATTTGTTATCAGTTTCAGTGTTGAACAATTAATCGGCTTGCATCGGCGGTAACGATAAGTGCTCGGTACTATCGATATCACATAAAACCGGCAACAGTGACGTCAAGATAGGTTTTATCTGTAAGAGCTCTCGAGTTTGATGAATTAAAAAATACAAAATTAAATGCACATACCGCAGTGAGCATGTTTGCAGACCGTTTGTGACAAGTAAACATATTACTGTAGCGTCTTCTCGATTTTGCCGTTAAGCAATTGTGACATCAAGAATTGGTTGTCAGCGCTCTGCGCTGTCATCACTTACACACATACGCATGCAATCGTAAACATTTAGTTGCAGAACCGAACACGTCAGCTACGCGGATGCGGATTGATTAACAACAATTTGTTTTGATCATTCCAAATCAGTAAATTTACTGCTCGAACTACACACCTTACAGCTAGATATTTTCATATATTCGTTAGCTGACTCAATTACTGCAGCATCAAAATGGTAAGCCCGCAAACACATACATAGACACACACACACCTGAACACACACGTCTACGTCGGCTGTTTTGCTTATCTTATTTGTGTTTGATTAATCCCAGGTACTCATCGCTGCAGCAGTCTGCACAAGGAATGGCAAAGGTAAGCCGCAACTAAAATTCTTTACTCTAACAGCTCAAATGTCTAACCTCACACTCCCATGCTCAAACACGTAAACTCTCACGCACACACACTTGCTTACATACGCACACACTTGCAATGCGTAGTCATATTGTCACGTCAGTTCGTGGAGATGACGAAGGCGCGCATCGAGGGGCTGCTGGCAGCATTCCCCAAGCTGATGACCGCCGGCAAGCAGCACACGTATGTGGAAACGGACTCGGTGCGCTACGTCTACCAGCCGATGGAGAAGCTCTATATGCTGCTCATAACCACAAAGGCCAGTAATATATTGGAGGATTTGGAAACGCTTCGCCTCTTCTCCAAAGTGGTGCGTGTATTCGAATATACAATTGCCATATTCAGATAACTCTTATGCTTGACATATAGATTCCAGAGTATAGCCACTCGCTGGACGAGAAGGAGATCGTGGAGAATGCATTCAATTTGATATTTGCTTTTGACGAGATTGTCGCTCTGGGCTACAGGGAAAGCGTGAATCTGGCGCAAATCAAGACATTCGTTGAGATGGATTCGCATGAGGAGAAAGTCTACCAGGCAGTTCGTCAGACACAGGAGCGCGAGGCACGTCAAAAGATGCGCGAAAAGGCTAAGGAATTGCAACGTCAGCGCATGGAGGCAACCAAACGTGGTGGCCCCTCGATGGGTGGTATGGGTGGACGCAGCGGCGGCTTCAGCTCCGACAGCTTTGGCAGTAGCGGCATCAGCACTGGCGGCGGCGGCGGTGGTAGTGGAAGCGGAGCGCCATCCATTGAGATGGATACCAAGCATATGTCCTCTAGCAAGGCTGCACTGTTAGTTCACATTTGATATCAGTTCGCGATATTAACTTATCTAAATTGAAATTATTTTCTCTCTTTTGCGCTTGCAGAAAGCCCGTATCACGAAATGCGCTCAAATTGGGTGGCAAGTCCAAGGATGTGGACAGCTTTGTTGATCAGCTGAAAAGCGAGGGCGAGAAGATTGCCAACCTGGCACCAGCTGTCGCTGCGGGCAGTGGCGGTGCAGCGGCCAGTGCCAGTGCAACGGCCAAAGCCAAAATCTCAGCGGACATTCATACAGAAAGGTAACACTACTAATAGCTGCGCCTGCTGTACGCTGAGCCACTACAATTTGGGAATTCAATTATTCTAGTGTACATCTCAAAATGGAGGATAAGCTGGTGGTGCGTCTGGGCCGCGATGGCGGCGTACAACAGTTCGAGCTTAGCGGCTTGCTAACGCTGCGCATTACCGACGAAAATCTGGGACGGATCAAGGTGAAGCTGGCCAACAATGATACACAGGGCATACAGCTGCAGACACATCCAAATGTTGACAAGGAGCTATTCAAGACACGCGCCATGATCGGACTCAAGAATCCAGCCAAGCCGTTCCCCCTCAATACCGATGTGGGTGTGCTCAAGTGGCGTTTCACTACTCAGGACGAAGCGGCCATTCCTTTGACCAGTAAGCTCTCCATCGTGTGTCTCTTTCTGTATTAACAGCTATATATCTGTCTCTCTCTTTTCCATTGCACACATAGTTAACTGTTGGCCTTCGGACAACGGAGAAGGTGGCTGCGATGTGAACATTGAATACGAACTGGAGACACTGCATCTGGAGTTGCAGGAAGTTCTCATAATTATACCATTGCCGTAAGTCAGATCACGTTTAGTTTAATGCTCTGTCGTTAATTTTTTGTGTTATAGCTTGAATGTGCAGCCGTCTGTGGCCGAATTCGATGGTACCTACGTTTATGATGCTCGCAAGCATGTGCTGCAGTGGCACATACCAATCATCGATGCAGAGAATAAGTCTGGATCGATGGAATTTAGCTGCAGTGCCTCCATACCGGGCGACTTCTTTCCCTTGCAAGTGTCGTTTGTCTCAAAGACGCCGTATGCGGCAATTAGTGCGCTAGATGTCGTACAGGTTGACAATGATTCGTCGGTCAAGTATTCAAGCGAAACGATTCTGTTCGTGGAGAAATACGAAATCGTTTAAACCATATATACACATACATAAATACTGAAGAAAGAAATGCACACACACACACACATACATGCGAAAAGAGAAATACACTATCGGCAGTAGTAGTATACCTAGTATCAATACATACCTTTATATTTTTGAGCGATTTTTCGCATTATGTACGATTATATAAATGTTAAAGCTATGTTTACATACATATATATATATATTTCAACCTAAACACGCATCCAGCCGTAATGCGCTTATGGCTAATAGTAATTCCAAATGGCGTGCTCCACAACCATCATCATAGAGTATAACACATAAGATACAAAACATAAATATTTTATTAAATGCGCGGAAAGCAACTTATAATTTGATTTCAAACAACAAAAATTGTTAAATATAGTTGGCACTGTATACAAGAATTTGATTTAATGCGGTCGCCTGCATACAAATTGCAATAAAATATATGTCAATAAAAACACGATTATTATTATTTGTTCATAGTGTTAGAATTCATTGTATTTTGAACTATAATCTATTGCAGCGTTTAAATTCAAATTTGTATTTAGGAATGCGCTAGTGTTGAAAGTGGCGTAGTTGCGTGATTTAACGTATTATGCAACACTTAAGTTAATTTGTGGCCACCCCCATTTATCGATAGCCAGCGCTGCCGATAGTCCAGATCGAAATTAGCATTGTTTTGGTTTATTCTTTGTTTTCATTTTTACAACTGTTGGTAAATTGTAACTGGACAAATGGAGCAGCAACTGGAAAAAGTGTTGAGCGAAATGTACGTGTTGTGCAATGATCACTTAAGTTAACTAACTTCCCTGTAACTTGCTTCTTCCAGCTTAACAACACCAGAAACCGTGGGTGCCCTACTGGCGAATCGGCAAGGCCTCTGCTTGGGCGGTGAGTGTAGTAAAAACTCTACTATCTGCATGCATGCATACGCGCGTATGTGTGTGTGTGTGGATGTCCATATATGTTTTAATCAGTCGTAAACAGGCTTGTTTTATTTTATATTGTTTATTGCTTTTGTCTTCTCTTTTAATTTTTGCAATGCGGCACAGCCAAGGGCAACATTAATCCCAATGTATCTGGCATTGGGATGGCCATATCCGAGCAGGTCGCCAAGCTGGAGCCCAACAGCACTCTTCCGGCCACCGTTTGCCTGTACAGTGGCAATAAGTAAGTAGAGGTCAGTCAACTAGCTCAGAGGCCTACTTTTCAATATTGTTTTGCTTAAAATTTTCGCAGGCGCTGCGTCATACAAAAGGATGGCGAAATAACTGGAATCATTTATAAGCAAACAGCGACAGCAACAACAGCATCGACGTCGGCCAGCAATTAGCCTACTCGTATCTTAGGCCAAAGTGAGACAAATTTCTTCCAAATGCGCTCGAACATTGGGCGCAGCAAGAGCTGGCGACATTCATAGCCGCTTAGCCCTGGCTCTAGCTGGCAGCGATTGTGCACATTTTGTTGATTTGTTTATTGTTTGTACATTTGCCTCTTCTTTACTTATGTCTTTTATATTTAATGAATACAATTATGATGTACTGCATCGTAGCGTTAAGCAGCAATCGAATATGTGCTCCAAGCCCCAAAGCTTCACTCAACATTTTAGGTGGCATATGTAAATAGACACTTTGAACGATTAAGCCTGCAAAGCGACCAAAGTATAATTTGAAATACAGAGCAGCAGCAATTATAATCAAACAACAAACGCAATATCAATTAGTGAAAGTCACAGCTCAACTGCTTTATGCCAAAGAGTCTCGGGCTGCATTCTCACAGCTCGCCAAGCTCCAGCTCTTTCAGCTGATTGCCTACCTTTAATTATCAATTCAGGCCTACGTGTGCGAGTCTATCTGCTGGTAATTACTCAATCATAACGGCGCCAGTTCGTGCTGCCTCTGAGTTTTCCGGATTGGGCAACATCGAGGAAATGCAGCTACGCCTACAACATAAAAAAAATGATATATTGTCGTCATGCAATATGCAACATGCACCATGCAACAAGCAGCAAGCAGCAAGCAACACTCGCATAAGAGACTCCCCAACAAATTGCCATTAATTCCAGCTCACAAGTTTTTCTGCATTTTCCATATAAATTTGAAAGTCGTATGACAACCTGGCCGCCCATCGCAGTCATTAAACGCCGAGCTGATGCACAAATTAAGTTTTACAGCGGATTTTGGCAATAGGCTGGAGTCGATGCTGGAGTCTGTGCCCCAAGGGTGTTGGCAACGAAACTAAACGAGTTTCTCTATTGCCTCTGCCAATTGCCACATACTTCAGATAAGAGCCCAAAGATTGCCTAAGACGAAGAGTTTCAGAGAGATATTTGTCGAGTCGAGACAATCGCAAAAGAAGATCTTCACCTGCTAAACGAATAATGCATAAAGCCAATATACTCCTTTCGCTTCATGAGCGAGTATAGAAAGTAGCCTCAGTTAGACAATGAAAGAGTAAGGGAAAGAGAGAACGATAGGAAATGCGAAAGCTGAAGAGAGAAGAGCAGAGATCAGCATAGGACAGAGGCAGGGAGACAGACGGCGAGTGGTAGAGATGGGAAGGGGAGCGGAGAGACTTGGAGAAAGGGAGAAAGTTGGAAGAAATAGTGTGGTAAAGAGATAAAGAGAGAGAGAGAGATAGTAAGAATAAGACAAAGAGAGAGAGAAAGAAAAGAAATGGAGTAGAAAGAGAGAATAATATGTATATATGAAAAGAGAGAGAAAGAGAGGAAGAAAAAGAGAGAGGTTGATAGAAAGGTGAGAGGAGATAGAAAGATGAGTAAGAGAAGATAAAGGATAGTTAAAGAGAGAGAGAGAGAGAGATAGGGAGATAGCGAGAAAAGATAGTATAGGTAGACAGAGAGAGAGAGAGAGAGAAAAAGAAACTATAATCAAAGTGAGAGAGAGAGAGATATTAAAACAGACAGCAGACAGAAAGAGTGAAAAAAGTAAGGTAAAGAGAGCGAGAGAGAAAGGGAAGAAATCAAACTCCCAGAGAGAGAAAGAGAGAGAGAGAGGGAGAGCGAAAGTGTGAGAAGAAACTATAATCAAAGTAAGAGAGACAGGGCAATAAGAAAGCAGGCAGACAAAGAGCAAGGGATGTACAGAGAGGGAGAGAGATTAAAGACTGTTATACACATTGGGAGAAAGAGAGAGAGAGAGAAAGAAAACGTGTGCCAGAGCAGAAGAGTTAGACAGATGGAGCAGATGGCTTGCTGAGAAAGAAGAAGATCACTTTGGCATTGTCTTAAGATAGAGAGTCGCTCAGTCGACTACTGGGTGAGTGGACTCAGCCGAAGATCTGTTCACCTGTGCTCCATGGGCTGGCGAAAGTTCAATGGAAACAGATGGAAAATGTGAGCAAATAATTATAAGTGAATGCAATTGTTGGGCAAAGGACAATACATGAGCTCGTCTATTTGTAGAGTTCCAATAAAATACATATGCAAATATATGTTAATTCATTTGTACAAACAAGCGAGAGGCACAGAGAGAGGGAGAGGGAGAGGGAGAGGGAGAGGGAGACGAAAATGTTCTTTATCAAATAGCAAAGTTTAAACAAGCTTTGTGCGAATTTATTTGCCTGTCTATGTACATAATTATAGAAATATGCAGGTAAGATATTGTTTATATTCGGGTGTGTGTGGGTGTGCGTGTGTGTGGCTGTGTGTGTGTTGCAGCCTTGAACTTTCACAAATGACGCCGCCGCCTACAGAGCGTGGGGCGGCCCACATGACTGTGGCCCAGAAACTGTCTTGCTCGCTCGCTCTCTCTCTCTCTCTCTCTCTCTCTCTCTTGCTCTCTGTGTGTGTGTGAACGGTAAATACGCATCGTAATAAATGAACACGCTCACGCATATGCATGTAAAACTCGTTCGAATGGAAGCGGCAGCAGCAGCTGATAAACAAAATGAAATTGGCCGCCAAGGCGGGCTTATTTAGTCGGCCAAAGCCACCGAAAGCCTTCAACTTGACTAAGCGTTCGATCGAGTTCAGCGTGGCACAGCAGGTAGCCTCGCTTTCGCTTTCAAGAAGTTGCGTGCCACGGCAGAGAGAAGCCAAGCTAAAGCTGCAGGCGTAACGATTAGATAAGCGATCGGCGCAGATTTTGCCTTTTAAAGCAGATGTAGGCGTAGCTCTGGTAGAAGCGAGAAGCCTAAGCATTTCTCTTAGAGAGAAGACCTGGCAATAGCGATAGAAGTCATGCCAAACGATTAGATAAGTTAATAGAAAAGCGCAGCATCTGTGTCTGACAGCAGCGAGAAGCGTAAGCACTAGCTTAGATAAGTTAGTCGCAGAGCTCAAACCTGTCAGCTAGCTGGTTGCCTAACTTTCGCTTTCAAGAAGTTGCTTAGCTTCAGTTGGGCAAAAAAAAGAAGTCATTCGGAACGATTAGATAAGTGGCCCAAGGCGAAAGGCAAGAAGCGCACATATCAATTAGATAAGTGAGCGACAACAATAGCAAAAGATCGAGCAGCTTTCGGTGCCTTTCCCTTTTGGTAAAAGCCACAGCGAAAGCGAGAAAGGTGGCCCAAGCTGGGAGACACACATTGCACAATATATATATATATATATATATATACATATATATATATATGTGTGTATGTATGTATTTATTATATATATAGAGCGCTTTTGGCTGCTTCCAAAAATAACGTCAAGTCTTGCAACATTTCATTAGATTTGTAGCTGGAAAATGTTGACTCTTGACCACATGCTCATTTGCACAGCATTCCCAAGCGGATAGATATATATCACGCCAGTATATATATCTATATATATATATAGTTGTGTGAAGAATTATGTGACCACAGTTGCCCCTAGACGACTTATGCTTGAGTTATGCCAAACATAAACATTTTTGTTCATGGCAATATTTTTCAACGACATGATAAATCTTTTTGTCTTTGCTTTATGCATATATATATAAATATATACTATATCTGCGGTCGAAGGCCCGGCATGCTATGACTTTGCTTTCAAGCTCAAACTGCATAGATAAGAGACTGATAACCGAAGTGAGCTAAGGCAACTCGCTGACTCTTCATCATTTCATTGGCAGTTTTATGAGTGGATTGAATGCAAATTGCACTATTCAGAATCTCATGTATGGAAAATTATGTCATGTGGCCAACAAAGCGCCAAACTGAGCTAAAGCCAGAGTCAGAGTCAGAGCCAGCGCCAGAGTCCGAGTCCGAGTCCGAGTCCGAGTCAGAGTCAGAGAGTTGACGCTTTACACAAAATAATCACGTCACCAAAGACCAAAATGACGACATTTGGCCGGCAACGTTAGCTTTGATTTCAAATATGTACAAACTGCCACACACACACACACATATACACACACGGAGGCACACACATGTATTTGGTATTGTTTACAATTTATTTGTGTTTTATTTTTCATTTTGGTTTCAATGTTGTATAATGGACAGCATCGGCGCCAACAATTGCATTTGCCGCGCGCTTCCATTACAAATCACGTTCCGTTTAGCAGGCACGAGTTATCACCTCACCTCATCTCACCTGTATATGCTGCTATTATTATTAGTTGAATTATAAACAAACAAAAAAAAAAAAAAATACGAAAAGAATATGCTATAAATTAGTTTATAAAATTGTCACTGATATGAAGTATATTAACTTGTGCTTCTTTTTTTTTTTTTTTTTTTTTTTTTTTTTTTGGTTTTTTTTTTTATTTCTTTATTTTGTTGCAGCTTATTGTCTTAGACTCTATAGCGCATTTAGCTCTAAACCTTAACTAATGGGAGGGCAGATATGCCAATTATTCTGCACTTGTAGCTACTATCTTAATTAGTTCTAATATTGTCTAGAGGATGCAATCTCTTCAGTCTTCGCCTATTGTTGTTTATAGCCAGGTTGCTTGCGAGATGGTTAGGATGCGCTGCAAGTCTGTCCGCGTATCTTGAACTGTGTCGCCCAATGAGTTCAGCAACTGTGGGAATTGCTAAATCCCTATGTAAGACTGAGTTTCTTACAAACCAGCTGGCTCCAGTCCATCTGCGTAGTGCTTTATTCTGCAGGGTCTGAATTTTGTTCCTTGTAGTCTTCGCCGAGGAGCCCCATAGAGAGATACCATATACGAAGGTTGGGACAACTATTGCCTTGTAGATGGCGGCCTTGCTGCTGTAAGACAACTTGCTTGAAGCTCTCAGCATCCAGTCGAGGGTTTTTAGCTTGCTTTTGCATTTTGAGGTTACTTGACTTATGTGCGCTTTAAAAGTCAGCCTTCTGTCAAGAGTGATACCAAGGTACTTTACTTTTGAGGCTTTGGGAATAGTGGGCCCCAATGCAACGCTTGGGCAATCTCCTCTTCTAGTGGCGAAGGTAGTATGTACAGACTTTTGTGCATTAATGGTGATACACCACCGTTTTGCCCAGCGTCCGAAAGAGTCCAGATATTTTTGTAGTGAGTCTGAAGCTTCTTGCGCAGATACGTGACGTGATAAGATGGCGGTGTCATCTGCATAGGTCGCTATGAGTACTGCATCTGTACTTCCTATATTTGGCTCGGGAGTTGGCATATCTCCTGTGAATAAAGTATAAAGTGTTGGGCCTAGAACACTACCCTGTGGTACTCCAGCCATAATTGGTCTAGTCAAGGATACTGCTTGCCCCCTTGACACTTGGAAGGTTCTTCCAATAAGGTATGAGGATAGCAACGCGAAAAATGGGGCTGGAAGG